TGAAATCTTGCCATTTGCAACTGCGTGGATGGAACTACAGGGTATTATGCTAAGCGAATTAGAGAAAGACAAATATCATATGACTTTACTCATATGAGGACTTTAAGACACAGAACAGATGAACACAAGGGAAGGGAAGCATAAATAATATAAAAACAGGGAAGGGGACAAGACATAAGAGATTCTTAAATATGGAGAACAAGCAGAGGGTTACTGGAGGGGTTGTGGGAGGTGGGGGATGGGCTAAATGGGTAAGGGGCATTAAGGACTCTACTCCTGAAATCATTGTTGCACTATATGCTAACTAATTTGGATGTAAATTAAAAATAATAATAATAATAATAAATAAATAAATAAATGAAGCATTTTTTAAATTAAAAGGTAGTAATTCAGTCTGCTTACAAAAAAAAGAGACAGGGGAGGTGTGAGAGCCATTTAGACCAGCTAGTAATACAAGGAATCTTTACCTCCAAGCAAGCAATGTAAGAATCTGTAGCATGTAACACCTGCATCTTTAAGACTATATCACCAAAAAAAAGTGGTTATCTTGAAAATATCACCAAAAGCTCCACAGTTTCAAATCTGACAGAATTCAAACACAAAGGGCTATGTATTATATAATTCAATTTTTTGAAACGTCCAGAATAGGAAAATCCACAGAAATAAAAAGTAGATCAGTAGTTGCCAGGAACCAAAGAGCAGAGGGAATGGGGATTGACCACTAATAGGTACAGTGCATGGTGACATATTTGATGAAAATGTTCTAAAATTAAATAGTAGTGTGACTACATATTCAACTTTTAGTGAATTTACTAAAAGCAACTCAACTATACATTCTCTAAGGGTGAATTTTATGGTATGTGAATTATTATTTCAATAATATTCTTATTAAAAATTAAAATAGGGGCACCTGGGTGGCTCAGTGAGTTAATCAAGACTCAGATTCTTTTTTTTTTTTTTTAATTTTTTTTTCAACGTTTTTTATTTATTTTTGGGACAGAGAGAGACAGAGCATGAACGGGGGAGGGGCAGAGAGAGAGGGAGACACAGAATCGGAAACAGGCTCCAGGCTCTGAGCCATCAGCCCAGAGCCTGACGCGGGGCTCGAACTCACGGACCGCGAGATCGTGACCTGGCTGAAGTCGGACGCTTAACCGACTGCGCCACCCAGGCGCCCCTTAGTCAGATTCTTGATTTCAGCTCAGGTCATGGTTCCTGAGTTTGAGCTCCGTGTCAGCTCTGCGCTGACAGTGCAGAACCTACTTGTGATCCTCTTTCCCTCTCTCTCTCCCCCTCCCCTACTTTCCCTCCATCCCTCTCATTCTCTCTCTCTCTCTCAAAATAAATAAACTTAAAAAAATTAAATTTAAATTAAAAAATAATCGGACAAGTCATAATGTCATTTGTACTATAGTAGACACATTCAGAACTTTCCACCTGACCCAAATTTCTTGTTTACCTTGGCAAGGCGGCTCATCTGATCTTCTGAGAGAGTACTGCTTGTTCTGCCAGGAGTTTTTGTGGGTTCTGATCCATCTGCTTCTACATTAGGCCAGACTTTCAAGTCGTGCATCCCTTGGCGAAACATGCTAGGCGAAAAGATAGTGTTCAGGGTAGAAGTAAATTAATGCAGTTCATTATAGGACGTTTAGGTTCCTAAAACAGAGAGAATTCCACAGAGCAAAATGCATGTCTGTCTTGCCAAGCCTGAAACCTCCAGTGGGTTGTAAAGCTATTAACTAAGCAACTAAAATCCATGTTAACACTGTTTTTTTACATGCCATTCTTTTCCCCTCTACACAGAACTATTACAGAAATCCTACAAGTAGAGTAGAAATAGAAAGTTCCGTAATGGACCACACTCACATTTCATCATTTCAGTGGAGATCTGAGAAATAATAGAGACCAAATTCCTATCAAATAAAAGAATGTCACATTTATAATAACTGAAACCAAATTTAAATGAATACATAACTCTCTACTTTAAGTGACAATTCAGCACAGTAGAAGGTGAAGTCAAAATGCTGGGATCTGAATCCCAGCAGTGCCATCAACTATTACCTACATGACCTTGGGTATATTACCCAACCTCTATGTCTCAGTTTTCTCATCTATAAAATAAGATTATAAAGAGTACCTGTATCTCAGAGTTGTTAGAAAAATTAAATAGATCGGTAGAAGTAAGAAGTACTTAGAACCGTGCCTGCCACACAGGAAGTATTCAATAAATGTTAGCTATTATCAGCCTTTCACTAGGTATCATGATTTCTCTCCTATCTTCTTTTACACAAGAGATAGGTCTAAAACAGAATACAAATGCAGATTCGTATAAGAAAAAAAATCCCATGTCTATGAATCAAGAGATTTAACATACAGCCAAAATTCAATCTGAGGATGGTGAGATCCTGCTTTATAGTGAAAAACTATATATATGATTATTGATGGCCAAATTTCCTTCAAAAGCTACCAAGAAGATCTAGAGTAAAGGTTGAGCAAAGTCATAAAGGAGATTTAGACAACTGTTTTTTAAATATGCTACTATTAAGTGTCTGAGTGTTTTTTCAGGGAAGGATTAGAGATGTCCTTCTGTTAGTGTGTTCTCTTTTTTCTTAAGTGTTGTTGTTGTTGTTGTTTTTTAAACAAGACCTTTCAAACAATATAAAGTCTATCAAAGAGCATCCTCCCAAAGCTCAAAGAGCAAGCTGATGACTGCAATGGAAAAAAATAAGACTGGAAGTGAGTAGGCAAGTCCAAAGCATTTTGCACACTCTCACATTTAATAATTTTTTTTAAAATACAGTACATTATGGGGTGCCTGGGTGGCTTCAGTCAGTTAAGCGTTGGACTGTGGCTCAGGTCATGATCTCACGGTTCATGAGTTCAAGCCTCAAGTCAGGCTCTGTGCTGACAGCTCAGAACCTGGAGCCTGCTTCAGATTCTGTGTCTCCCTCTCTCTCTGCCCCTCCCCCACTCATGCTCTGCCTCTCAAAAATTAATAAACGTTAAAAAAAATTTTAATAAAGTACATTACATATATTGATACAGCATTTTTCCATCTTTAAAAACATTATACTTAACTATAAAAGGCTTACATAAAATTTTTAAGCCATTTATTATCATGTTCTGACTAATGGAAAATTTCTTCACAGATTTTTCCCAGATAATAAAGAGGATTTTCACTGATTCTGTAATGTATATAAGCAATGATGCCATGAACAATGAGAATGGAATGATAAACGACAGCTACAAGCTCATGAGCACAGTAAGACTAAGGTATAACCATACTTGTTACAAGGTCTTTAAGGCTGGCAATAAACAGGTGGCACCCAGCAGCCATGCAAAAGCTTACCTTAGAGGCCCCCCAAAAATGCACTGATTAGTTGTAAAGAATAAAAATTCTCAAGATTTATCTACCATATTAAAGATCAAAAAGTTATATTACAAAAAAAGCACATATGCCAGCCTTTTATAAAGTTCACTTTCTTTCAAATCAGGTATAGATTCAATATCAAGCAGACCTGCTTAGTCTCTAAGAAACTGGGTACAGTGAAGCAATAATGCCACTTTAAATGAATATCCTTACATGTACCTTGAGAAACAGCAGAAGGCCTGCCTTCCTTCTCTCTACCTCTGTATCCCCCAGTGAATACTGTGACTGGCTGAATGTAACTAAATCAAAAATAAGTACATTTGGCAGGAAGTCAGTTTACTAAATGATTTAGGTGCCTTGGGATGAATCTGGAGAGAAGATTTAAGGATACGGGACGTGGAGGGAAGGGGTGACGCCAAGTGACTCAAATGATCAAGTGAACATATTACTTTCTTTTGACACTAATGGAACCTTTGCAGAGAGTTACACAGCCTCCAGGTGGCAAGCCAAAAGATGCTCAGAGCATCATGTCCACTTGGGAAATTAAGCCAAACAGGCAAGACAAAAGACACAGCATAGCAGGATCTCCTTCGGACTCCAGCAGAGGCCCCAGCAACAGCTGCTGCTGACGTTCCAGCTCCCAGTGCCAAGCCACTATCGCAGCCACTGCCCTGACTTTCAAATTCACATGTGGAAAAACATCTGCACGAGAAATCTGCAGCCTGCTTATGGTTCTCTGCCAATTCAATCTAATGATCAATCCGTTTTTTAGCTACTTAGAAATCTCACCAGCTAAACTTTCAAAATGAGGACAATTAGTCATTCTGGCTGTATCTTAAGAGATGAGTCTTTCAATTATTAATTATACTATTCTCCAAGAAGCACTGCTTCACACAGACTCAAGTAAACAAAACAGACATTAGCAAATACCAAGAGTTGACAGTCACAAGGTTCCCAATATTATAAGACAACTATCTCATGCTTTGAAGACCACTTCTTAAAAACTAAGTCCAGGGGCGCCTGGGTGGCGCAGTCGGTTAAGCGTCCGACTTCAGCCAGGTCACGATCTCGCGGTCCGTGAGTTCGAGCCCCGCGTCGGGCTCTGGGCTGATGGCTCAGAGCCTGGAGCCTGTTTCCGATTCTATGTCTCCCTCTCTCTCTGCCCCTCCCCCGTTCATGCTCTGTCTCTCTCTGTCCCAAAAATAAATAAACGTTGAAAAAAAAAAATTAAAAAAAAAAAAAAAAAAAAAACTAAGTCCATACCAGCCCTACTTAGGGGAAAAGGTGAGGAGCAACTGGGGTTATGTAATGGTTCAAGAAACATCTGAAGAAACTACAGTCTAAAGCAGTTTCCTTAAATCACAAAAACCGTGGTGGCACGTGACATGATTTTTAACGGTAGGAAGGAAAAAAAAAAAAAAAAACAACTGCAGCAGCTTCCTGCTGAGGCCACCCAAAAGATGGATGCCACTCTCTCTGCCGAAATGTCAGCAGCAGCATGCAGAGAAGCAGCTGTGACCCCGCAGTACTAGCGGAGGTGTGTACCCTGCCACAACACCTGAACATCCTGAGCAGTCACACACAAAGCTGCACACAGTCTAGTACCGTGCCAGGAGACGCCTGGGCTTACATGCAGCACAACCCAGTTCATCTCAAGGAAAGGCCCCAAGACACACAGAGAAAAAGGACTTATTTCAATTTCATAAAGTTTCTTATGCTTCCTTTTTCTGAGGTGAAGGTCAGGATAAATGTCAACCTAGAGGGAACAGGAGGAGATGATCCACCTTTTCTTCATTCCTTCCCCACTGTTCAAAGTATCAGAGCAACCTCTATTGAAATCTGATGTTATCATTTGGCTAACTGACATACAACCACATAGGAGCTATGTGTTTTGTTTTTGTTTTTGTTTTAAAAGTGAGCCAATTCAGATAATCAAGTACAGAGATACTCAGTACAGAGATAAGGCAGGAATTCGGAAAGTAATAAGTCAACCAGTCCTATTTGAGAAACCCTGCTCTAAGTGAGGGAGTTGCACAGAGTCAGTACCAATCTCCAACACGTTTTATTTTCACCTGACACCTCATGTGTTCAGGACATGGATGGGCAGCATGACCTAATGTCCAGTTAAGAGTTATGAAAAAACAGAGGACTCTCCAAGATTCAAAGTCTTAATTTACTTAATATCAGGAAAACGAATTGAAGTTGAACTCCCACCTATTGCTACCACTACCTTCATGGAAATATTTGGGGTTTAATTACTTCGTAAAGTACAACAAATACTACTGACTCATGTTTCAGGCACATTTCCATCATGGTTTGGATGAGAGGTAAAGGAATGCTTCCTTTACTGGGGTTCATACAGAAATACAAATCAAGCGGGCAACAGGATGAAAGAAACTTTGAAAACAACTGCTGGTGTAAGTTCTACAAGTCGACTATTATAAAAAGGTTAATGCAGCGTTTCCCAAGATGTTGATCCGTAGGCCACAGCATCACTCGGGATCCTGCTTACTAAAAATGCCGAATCTTGGGCCCCATGACACCCTCACTAAATTAGTGAGAACACAGGAAGATGACTGTCTAGTGAGCTTACCAGATGCTTCTTATTCATAGGTTGACTACTACTGACTTCATGTACTTTTCAAAAACTTGCCAAAAGTCAAGTAAAACTGGGTCACAAATGTTAATTTGAGAAAGAAAGAGTTTGTTTGGCTTTAGGCAGTTCATTTTACTGCACTTCTGTGGAAATTTCAGTTGTCTCATACTTACTGTCTAGTCCAATTGTCTCCTGAAACTATATCCTAAGGTCATCTAAATGCAGAGGTGTGCTTTTATGACAAAACCTCCAGCTGATTTTCCAAAAGGGAAACCACTTATAAAGAGGTCAAGAGGAAAAACCAAGAGGTGTATCTGTTGTTTCTCAAGAACATTTAACCACTAACTACACAGCAAGAGTAATAAACTGTTGTGCACTTTTTTACTGTGTGGCAAACCCCACCCTAGTAGAGAACAGCAAAAAGGAACAGACACTCTGGAAAAGGAACAATACTGACTTAGTGACATGTCCATTCTAATGTAACATGCTATTTTAACCAAATTATATGTAATGTGTCAGACTATGTCTAAATTTGTTCTTTCATGAATTTCAGTAATAAATATCTCTTTAATAATTACATCAAACAAAAATACTTTCACATTATTAAGCAACCAAAGTATTCTAAATGAAATTACATCTAGATTTTGTTCATGAGTTGAAGGCTTTCTAACACACCCTATCCCTGGATGGCAAAATTCAATATTACAAAGGTGTCAATTTTCTCCTTTAATTAACATATCTAATTCAATACAATTTCCTAACAAAATAACAGTGAGCTTTTTTTATTTGAAGAAATAATAAAAAGTTTATCTAACAAACAGAATATCCAGAGAAATTATAAAAAGGCAAATAAGGAAAATGCTCCCCATCTAATATTAAAACATTTTATAATAGTATTCAAGACTAACAGAATAGTTCAGAAATAATGTTGAAGCTAATATTTACTGAACACTTATTAAGTTAATTATGTGTCTTCAGTAATTTATCATCATAAACTACTCTATAAGATAAATATTGTTATATCATTTTAGAGATGAGGAAACTGAGGCAGCAGGATATTAAATAACTTGCCCAAGGGTACAAAGATAATAAACAAATGAGCCAGGATTTGAACCCAGATAATCTGGTTCTCCATGCTGCATCCCTAACCACCACCGTATGATATACTACACTGTTTCTCTTAGACTTCAATATGTGATGAACTGAATATATAAGGGTATCATTTCAAAACATTTGGAAACAAAGGCCAATTTAATAAATAGTGTTAAGACAAATAAGTAGCCATTTGTCAGTCTTCTGGTTTTTTTTAAGTTGATTCTCAATACATCACCCCTTTCAGAAAGTGATTTTAGATGAATCAAAGACTTAAATAAGAATAAAAATCATAAGAGGAAATCTCTTTTAAAATTAGAAAAGGACTTTCTAAAACAATTCACAGCCCATAAAAATAAAAGCTGATCAACATGATAATTTAAGGTCCATGAACAGCAAGCAAACAAATAAATATATACTAATTCAAAAAAAGTCGAACAGGAAACACAGTATTTGTAACATGTAACATGCAAATGGCTAATTTCATTAATCTACAAATAACACCTATACATTAGTAAGAAAACTGACAACTCAAAAAGAAAGCAGAATTTTATGGCATGTGAATTATATTTCACTTTTTGAAAAAATAGGTGGACATCAAAAAGCAATTCACAGAAACATACACAAACAGTAAACGAACATATCAAAATATGACCATCTTCATTTAAATTTAATGATGTGCAAGTTAATTCAGGCAATAACATTATCTGACTTTAAAATCAACACAAATTAATAAGTCTGATAATACCTAGGTTAAGTTCTCTACCTATTTTGCACTGAAAAGAAGTAGGGTTTCAGAGATTCCAGTTCGGGGATGAGAAACTGCCCAATTAGCCTGAAATAGTGTGTCAACCAGACAGCAAAGAAGGTACAAATGACTACTGGAGTACTGTCACAGAACCAGGGAGGGGATAAGCTTGAAGGAACTATTACTGACCAAAAATGGGAGTGTTTGAACACTGTGAAGACTAAAGACAGAAATTAATTAAAACATTTCAAAAATGTTTAAGACTAAAAGTTAATGACAAAACTTAAAAACAAAAAGGAAAAAAAAAAAAAACTCCATCATCAAATAGACAAGTTATCAGAACACCAACTCATTCTTAAAATTGGTAAAGGAGAAAAAAGTGAACATTCATCCGCCTTTCCTATATAAACAGTGTACCGAGATAACTCAATACCTGATGAAAGACCACGTTCTTTAGAGGAAAACCCCAATTAATAAACACAGAAAAGAATAATAGAATATCACCAATTCTCTAAAGATAGTGATCCTTCTGTTCCAGGAGAAAAAAGGAGAAAAAATACCTTTCAGGATTATGCTTTTGTTGTTGTTGTTGTTGTTATTGTTTTACAACAAACTTCTATTATCTATAAATGTTTAAAAACTGAGTTGACACCTTTTCAATGATATAGTCACAGTGATATAATCACTGTCATTATTAGCAATGCTTTTTAACTCTGCTTATTGCCCTGTCACTACTTTGAGAAAGCAAAAAAAAATGCTTTAACAATGCAATTACAGTATACACCAAAGAGCCTCTTTTTCTAGCAAGATTCGAATTTCTAATGACTATTTTCAAATAGAAATCATATTACCAATCACTAATTGTATAGTAACTGAAGTTGTGTTTCTTAATTAATCTACCTGCATATCCCATAGGAAATTTGTGTCAAATTCAGTCTCAAGAATAAAGGAATCATGTATACCAAATATGTTTTTGCTTCATAGGACACAGAGCACCAGAGTGGGTATAAACTATTAAAGCTCTCCCAAAAAGAAAAGCTCTCCCAACATTCCTAAAAGATCAGAAGAAAAGAATGCTTACCCATATTTTCCAAAGAGCGAAACCGTTGTTCCTCCCACAGGCACTGCCTTCCCTGGTCCATACACATCCCATATAGTGAGGGCCACTTGGGCATTCCTGGGCAGGTCTGGGTATTTTACAGGCAGTTTTAGCCATTCATTCCAGCTATAGAAATAAAGTCAACATAAACATAAAGCTAAGGAAATAAAGTGTGTGTGTGTGTGTGTGTGTGTGTGTGTGTGTGTGTGTGTGTAAACTTCCTTTTAAATTAACAAACCATACTTTTGTATGATTTGTCCAGAGAAAATGTTCCAAAAGATTAGGTTGGTACTACAAAAAATGTGACACTTACCTCGATTCTGATGGAGGCAACTTCAATTTTAAATATAGAACACATAAAAAAAAAATAATGAAAAGCCAAGCTCATGAAAATTTACACTGGTATTCTTTAATCAAGAAATTCACATAATATCACTAAGACACAGGAAAGTGATAATGGCTAATAAAAATCTGGTAAAACACAAGCATGTTAGATCCAAACTTGTTTTGAACGTAAGTATGATTATCTATAAGCATTTTCCAGAACACAGTTTTTACATTATAAAGAGAAAAAAAAGAATTATTCAAAATGCTGCTGAGGATAGTATGGTCCCATATTATACAAGAGTACCTAAACAAAGGAGAAAAAAACAACCAAAACCCTAAAGAGGTCAAAGTAGACTATCTACTACCACCCTAACATGAAGAAGTTACCAGACTGCTCTGGACAAACATATGACAATTTTTTACATATTTTTCTGTTCCTCAAGTTATTTCATCAATACTGATAATGCAAAGCTATCAGGTGTCACATTTTTAAAGCATACCTGTATATATGATTTCACTAAAGAATGCTCATGCTTAATAATTTAGTAATGATAACACAGCTCTTTTTTTTTATTTCTATTTATCCCTGCAAATTTTCTTCTGCATTCAAACTTCATACTGAATCTATTTGACAATTTCAACTCCCTTAAACAACAGATGGCTTTTAAAATCCCAAAAGAAAATTATGCAAACAATACACAAACTAATACCCAGAAGACACACAGAACTGTTTCTCTCTGTTTACTCAGAATTATTCTGTTTACTCAAAATTATTATCAAAGGGGCATATCCCAGTCTAGGTCAAATACATCGGCATCAGTAAGAAATTGAACAGAATTTTCAAAAACTTAAAGGATAAATCATTTATGCCCACCATATAAATTCAAGGACCTACAGGAAAATTAGACATGACTACCAATTTAAAGGAGAATCAAAAGTTATTAAATCCTTTTCTTCTATGAAGAACTTAAAAAAAATAAATCATCTCTCAAAAAAGCCTTTCTCAAAAAAGCCATTCTTCACTAGATAAACTTCAGGAACTAAATGAATTTATTTAATTACTGTACACAAGGTGGGTCTGACTGAAAGGGTAAATACTAAGCAGTATCATCTTGTGCCAAGGGAAAAAAAAAAAACACAAAAATTAACTAATACAGGCTAAAGACAGAAAAATCAACAACAATATCCAAAATGAACTATGGAAATTCTCACTTCTATATTCTGTCCTTTGACTAAAAAACAGTATCTATGACCAAACAATCATCTGCCTCAAACTTGTCATCTAAAAACACACCCCCACACCTTTTTAAAATCAAATTAACTATACTGTAACCTGTTTTATATACTGGACTGCTGCAGAAGAGTTCTTGTGAAGAAAATCAATCTGCAGATATATGATTTCAAAACTCTAGATTTTCCAGAAATTATGGAAAGATCTGATCAGATATCAAGAAGATATAAATTCTGAACCCCATTTTGTTCTCTCCCTCTCAGCACATCAGGCCTTCCACACGCCCCAACCCTCACTGAGCTAGAGACTAAATCTAGTTGGCAACTTTCAAAACATTTCAATATTCTGAAGCCTGATTCTGCATGGCTGGATTCTCACCACCCCACATACGACTGTACTAACCTTCTTGTCTGACCAGTGCACTCCTAAATCCTACTTTTGTCATTTCTTAATTATATTAGATTATCAGTCTGTTTCTCTCTCTAAAGTCATGTTATATCCTTTATGGGACAGGAGAGAATATAAATTAAAAAAAAAAAAGATTTAAACCACTTGCCTACAGAATAATACTTACATATAAAACATGGAAATCTGCAATATTCCACACAAATGACAACTCTATTTAAATGTAACTAAAGTACAAGATTCCCCACTATGGACAGGATAGAATAGGAGAAGACAGAATAGACTTGGGTAAATTTTGGATGAATCCTTACTATTTGAACTCTCACAACTATCAGAATCTCAAAAATCAGATTCAGATCATTAGGAATCTCAACTATCCAAAAATACGGTCTAAACTAAGGAAATGCAAAATTTTCCTTTTACAGTATAATTTATTTTTCCTAAGTTTACACTATTTCTTTTTTAAGTGTAAAGAAGGTGACTGTGAAAAGTTTGCCCTCAAGCATTTTAGGAGGGCAATTTTTGGTTTGATAAACTGTAAAAAATTCACCTCTTAAATACCAAAGAGCAGGGTGTACAAAATCTACAAATGTCTTCCCCCTGAGCCAAAAGAATATATTTAAAAGAAACAAATAAACCAAACAAAAAGCCTATCCTCATATTAACCCAACATGAGGTATTTTCTCACCCTATCTCCTACACAGATGTGTTGAACCTTTCAATTAAAAGAAGCCACTTTAATTATTCTGCAGTACTTACTTGTGTAGTAAGCACTTACTTGTGTAGTCACAATTTTAAAAATATAAAAAAAATTCAAACTTCGGGACAGCGAATATGGCAGTCTTTATATCTTTCAACAATACATAACACATAACAAATGAAAAAAGGAGTTGGCAAATGGGAAGAGAAAAGATTTGAATCTCCCTGTAACTGGGAATATGCTTTTTCTCTAATTTTCTTTATTGCCAAGGCATGAAGCAAAACCACTATACAATTTCCCTCACCAAGAAAAGTGGAACTCACCATAAATGTTGATGGTCTAAACCTAATTTGTAGTTTTGAAGTCTTTTTTGAAGTTATAAGCCACCTCAAAAAATCTAATAAAAGCTTTGAGCTCTGTCCTTGTAAAAATGCACAAGATACAAAATTCTGCATACAATTTCAGGTTTTTGCACACTTCCTGATTCCAGTTTAAAAACCTGATATAATTAAGGAATCCTGGTCCATTGCTTTAGATGTAATTATGTATTATAATTATGTACTGCAGTTTTGTTTAACAAAAGAAATACACAAAGGGATGCCTGGGTGGCTCAGTCAGTTAAGCATCGGACTCTTGATTTCAGTTCAGGTCATGATCTCAGTGAGATCGAGCCCTGAGTCGGGGTCCACGTTAGGCGTGGAGCCTGCTCAAGATTCTCCATCTCCCTCTGTCCTTCCCCCTGCATGTACATATTCTCTCTCAAAAAAAAAAACAAAAACAAAAACAAAAAACAAATACACAGAAACACAGTTAGAATGATAAAATATTTGGAATATGCTTTAAAATAACTGGATATAGATGAAACACGATTGGCTTTGATTTAGTAATTATCAAAGCCAGGTGATAGAGTCTTGGAAGTTCATTGTATTATTCTCTCTACATTTGCAGGTTTGAAATTTTCCAAAATAACATGTATATACATATATATATACTTGAGTGTGTTTGTGTTTATAGCTATCCACAAAAGGACTACTAAAGAAATTACACTATTAAAATAGTTGGTTTCAACGAAGCCAGATCACTAGAGCTCAGACTTCTGCTCTCTGAAAAAACCCTTCTCAACCTACTAGACCACACTTGGTAAACACAGGGCTGTACCCTCAACCTGGTAGTCCATTTGGTCACACCTTTTTTTTCATTAACACTGTGGGCATAAGCTTTTTCCTTAAGAGGCACATAACCTGTGAATCCTGCAGAGAGCCTACCAGGGTGCTGAATAACCCTCATGGGTAGAGCAACAAAACTGCACCACATAATCTATCAAATAAGAGGAGACAAGAGTTTGATTTCAGGACCCACAACAGTGTTCTGGAAAAACAGGAACTTCATGTTCACTAGATTTACCTTGCAACCCAACAATGGTCTGCTAATGTACCATGCTCAATAAACCATGAACTTTTTTTTAAGTTAGCTTCATATTTAAAATAATAATAAAAATCTGATCCGAACAGATGACAACAGATCTCTCTCTCTGAAAATCTGAGCTACAAACATCAGGTTGGACAACATTTCAGACAATCCAGAAGTGTTCACGTGTTCAGGGAGTAGAGTGGTAGAAAATTTAAAGATGTTACACATGTATTTTTGGTTTGGCTCATTTTGTGAATCAGTAAAGTACTTATAAAAATACACCAATATATTGAATACAAACACAAATTCACTTCTACCTAAATTGCGCTTACAATATTACTATATATAATATTTTATTCCATCTGAGGAGGCTACTGCTTTAAACTATTAGGTCAATGCTTATAGGTATTAGGTACAAAATTTTTTTTTTAATTTCCTCTTTAATCCCTACCAAATCATTTTTGCCACATTTATAAAGAAATAGAAGAATAGTCTGGAACCCACCATATGCAAGACAACAACTTACTTCCATCTTGTACTAAATGCTTTGTAGGATGTTCTCACTGGCAAGGCCAGAGGCTTCCCTTCTGCAAAAACTTGACAAGTAACATAAAGATCTGAGCATGTCTCCTGGTACAGCCCTGAAAACTTCAACATTGGGTCTTCTAGAACAGCTTTATAACTCTTTTGTTCTCTCTTCCCTTCCAAACTTCCTCTGAAAGTATAAGAATAATAATGTTTATAGACATTTTTAAACATATACACAACATACACCAAAAAAGTTTATGTTTGTATCATGGTAATCTTACCTCAACATTTTCCTGTATATAAAATTGAAGCCACTTTTACATCTTATAAAGGGCTCTTAAAATCCCAACATACCTAAAATCATTCTAATCTTCATCAACATATTTCTCTATTTTACGCTTTTACTTAATTTTATATTCTGTCATCATCTCTTGATCTACCTTCTAGACATCACCAGCTTTCCAGGCCTTAGTTTCACTTAATTTCAAGCTGAGAACTTGTTCATGTATTCATTCAACAAACATTCACTGTGCTGGGCACAGACGTCCAAAAATGAAAGATGAGATAAATAATAAATAAAGTCTTTGCTTCCACTTACTTGTAACTGTATATTCTTTTATTACTCTTTTAATTTTTGTTACTATGTATTATTATTTATATATGTTTATATATATATTATTATATATATTATCATTATATATATAATGTAACTTATAATATTATCTGATCACATTAAATTAAAAAACACAGTGAGAAATCATAAAAGAGGGACGCCTGGGTGGCTCAGTCAGTTAAGCGTCCAACTTCAGCTCAGGTCATGACCTCACGGTCTGTGAGTTAGAGCCTCAAGTCAGGTTCTATGCCAACGATTCAGAGCCTGGAGCCTGCTTCAGATTTTGTGTCTCCCTCTCTCTCCACCCCTTCCCTGCTTGCATTCTCTCTCTCTCAAAATATAAAATAAATCTATTTTATTTTAAAATAAAATAAAAACAGGGCGCCTCGGTGGCTCAGACGGTTGAGCATCCAACTTCAACTCAGGTCATGATCTCGCGGTTCATGAGTTTGAGCCCCACGTCGGGCTCTGTGTTAACAGTGTGGAGCCTGGAGCCTGCCTCAGATTCTGTATCTCCCTCTATCTGTCCCTCCGCCGCTCATGCTCTGTCTCTCGCATTGTCTCAAAAATAAATAAACGTTAAAAAAAATTTTTTTAATAAAAACAAAAAAATTTTTTTAAAAAGAAGTCATAAAAGATACGTACAGACATTAAAAAAGAGGTGGGAATATTGCTTGGACAAGATTATGTCAAATATTGTGCCTGGCATTTTATAAACTCTATTACTTTTCACTCTTTTCTCATTTTATAAATAATGAAGCAGAGACTCAGAGATCAAGCTTATTGTTCACAAAGTAACAGAGCTGAGAATAGAAACAAGGGCAGAAGAGGCCAAAGCCAGCCAATGTCCTTCAAAGACATTTGAAGAAAGATAACTCAAAGAGTCTCTGGAACACCTAACCTTGCTTGGGAGCAAGAGCTCAGCATCCCAGACAGATGTCTGAAATGAGCCTGAACAATATATGGCGATGAGAACCAAAAGGTAAGGAGTCATCCCAGAAGAACAGATAACCATATATAGAGGCAAAGAGGCAAGATGGTAGGTTTAGGGAACTACAAGTTGTTTGGTATAGCTAAAGCATAAAGCTCATGTGGCAAAGAAGCTAGAGATGAGAATGAAAAGTAGGTATAAAATGAAGCTAGGTAGATACCATATTCAGCACAGTGCCTGACACAAAGTGAACATTCAAAAATCTGTTAAATGAATGATCTGAAGTGACAGTAATGCAATCAGATTTATACTTTTGGCAGCAGTATAAGAACATAATGGAGAGGAGAGACTGAAGTGTGGATCAAGGCTATGAAGCTGGTAGATTCAAGACAATTTGTGAATGATTAAACACAGAAGGTAAGAGAGGGGTGTGTGCAGAACTCCAAAGTTTTCTGCCTTAACCAACCTGCTGAATGATGCCAACAATCATGAAAATAATAGAGACAACATGGGAAGATTAGAGTTAGAGGGGTAGGCTAATGATGTGCCAGTTTCAGACAGCTGCTTTTAAAGTGCTTTGGCATAGGGGCGCCTGGGTGGCGCAGTCGGTTAAGCGTCCGACTTCAGCCAGGTCACGATCTCGCGGTCTGTGAGTTCGAGCCCTGCATCAGGCTCTGGGCTGATGGCTCAGAGCCTGGAGCCTGTTTCGGATTCTGTGTCTCCCTCTCTCTCTGCCCCTCCCCCGTTCATGCTCTGTCTCTCTCTGTCCCAAAAATAAATAAACGTTGAAAAAAAAAAAAATTAAAAAAAAAAAAAAATAAAGTGCTTTGGCACATCCAAAGTGACTATGTCTCTCAGGCAGTTTGATTTCCAATTACAGCGCTAAGAAAAGAGACATCAAAGTGTAACTTGTTATTAAAACTGTAGCAATTAAACTAAAGAACAAACTGAACAAACTGAACTGGAGAAACAAACTGAAGGGGAGAACAAGCTGAATTATTCACTATTCTCTGATTATATGATTCTAAGTTGCTACTTCCTGTGCCCCAATAAACAAAAATGGCAGTCAAAGAAGCTGAAAGACAGTTAGTACTGAATTTTGTCAAACTTCTAACTTATGCTTTATTGTTGCCTCAAAATACCAAGTGTGTAACTGTTAATAACAGGTCAGGGGTTTTTTTGTGTTTGTTTTTGTTTTGTTTTGTTTCACTTTTCTTCTTTCCTTCTAATATTCAAAAGTTTCAAAAAATTCATTCATATGTCCAAGAAATACTGAGAGGTAGGAGACTGAAGGAAAGCCCTTTACCAAATAATAACGATGCAGTCCTGTATAAACAACTAGTGCCACATGCTGTAGAAATTTCCTGAAATGGGTGTGTAGATGATTTTACAAAAGTATAGTTTGGTTGCTGAATTATTATTTTTACTACCACCACAAGATGGATAGTAAAAGATCTGTCAGAGTCTGAAATAAGTAACTTCTGAAAATAAAAGGAAACAGTCCTTCAAAGGTGCATCTGACAGCTGAGAAAACGTACTCACCGCCTGTATGCAGCCCTTTGCCAGAGGCACATTAGACGAATACTGACTAAACATATTATGAATGATGATATGATTCATAATTTATGATAGCTTTCACATATGAAAATACTTCTATAAGACTGCCCTAAAATGGACATAATTTCTAACTCAGTCCCACCAGTTCCCAGTCTCCGTTCCAGTAATCTCATCTCAAGCTGTCATGCCCTTGGCCTTTATTTCAACTGTGATGCCCCAAGATTTTCCTGCAAGGCTCTTTTCTCATATCTTCTGGTCCCTTTGCAACTGCCACCGTCACCTCCGAATGACTCCCAACTTCCCTGGCTAAATAATGCCACACGGTCCAAAGATTCAATCTAAGCCTCTATCACCTCCTGTGCTTCTAGTACTGTATCCATGTGCTCATCTTATTCTCAACTACCAGGTCGTTGCCTGTGTCTACCTCCCCATAATTTCTTTAGTCTCCCTTCCACCTGCCAGCCCCGTTCTAAAGACCTTCCAACTATTACCAGCCAGAGGACGACTTAACTGAGACTTGATTCCTTCATCTGTAAAATGTAAAAACCCTCAAAAGGTTGCTGTCAACAGCAAGATGCTTCAAACAAAGTAAAACATCGTGGGACTTTAGAGCAGCCTCCTACCGCTACCCTTCTCCCAGAGACCTAGTCTTCAATCTTTCTTTGACATCGCCCCTCTCCACGCTCCCGTTCTCCTCCGCTTCCCTGGCTGCAACCCTCCCTGCCGCCCCAGGCAGGCCTTTAGGCTAATAACCATCTTCTCCCCCCCAACCCACAGGCCCCTGCCTCAGCGTCCCCAAGCCCCAGCAATCCCAGTCACTGTCCCGATTCCCTTACATCTTAAGCTGCACGTTGATGTCCAGGTCGCAACTGTATATGTAGTGAAACTTCTCCGCTTCTCCCATGGCACTCGCGGCAAAGGCAGCACCAACCTCTAGAAACAAGGCGCTGGAAAGACACCGGGACCGAGCAAGCTAAGCCCCACAACACAGGCGCTTCCGGTTCCGCCTCTCACGCCCGCTGCTACCAATCCCTGTCCGGAGCGCGACCCGACGCAGCGGAACTCCCCGCCCAACTTTTCCTTCTGCGCAAGTGCAAAAGTAGCTCACCATATTGCTTAAGGGTAAGTGGGACTCCGGAAACAACCTATCTGGTTACATTCCAGGCTTCCTGTGTTTTTCCTGTTTGAAGAACTTTTTTCCCCCGTAAGAAAAGAAGCTGGCTTTTGCGCTTGAGCTCCATCTAAAATCAAAACAAAATTCGATTCAAAAAGAATTGTAATAGTCTTCGCTCGCTGTAGGCTAAACAAGGAGCAATTACAAGAATTAGAATTTTGGCAAGTTCAATTTCCAATGGCGTTTCCAAAAATTGTGAATTTAATCCCTAATTTCCTATCTCAAACAAAGATTTTCTCTTTGTGCTATATTTCCTCTGTGTGCTCTTTTTTGTGGAGAAAGGACCAAACAAAGAACAAAGAAACCTGGGTTCCAGTTTGGCACTACCGATATTTATGTTACTTTGGGCAAATCACTTGGTACTTGCTTGCAATGGTAATTTTCACACTCAATTTGGATTTCAAGACAACCCTAGTTAGAACGTGGAAACATCCAGTAACAATCTAGAACTAAGTTTCCTGAACCCTATGAACTCCTACAATGCATATTTTTTATAATATTTAGTATTACTTAAACTTGTAATTTTTATTTTCAACTAGATTCAAAACTCCTGGAAGACAAGAATAGTGTGCATTTACTTCAGTATCTGCCCCCACTAATGCTCAATACACTGTCGAGTTTAATAATTCCTATTTATTATTATCGGCTATAATAAATAAAAGTTTCCATTTTGTAAATGTTTATTTTTAGGTGCCATATTGCAATAGGAACATGGGTAGACTTTGTATAAATTACAGTAATTAGGGGAAAAATAGGTTTCACGGAAGAGTTAGAAGGAGTGTAGCTGTTAAGCTAGAAGAGCAAAACATGGCTTATACACTGTTTTGGTCAAAGTAAGTTCTCAAAAACATTTGTGAAAGCAAGGCTAAGGAAAAAAAAAAATGATAGTTTTTTCCTGTAACTTAAAGTTCCCAAAAAAGAGAAGAGAATTGAGTTGTTCTTAAGTGTAACTACTACCAATGGTTGGAACTTACAGGAAATGTAATATCAGGAAGCAATAAAAATTAAACTTTCTAATCCTCAGAGCTGTCCAACAGTAAAACAAATACTTACACGTGCCCTATGGGATAATTCCAGCAATGGTTGTGAAGTTTGATGTGAAACAGACTTATCAAAATTGAATAAAATAGTTATAATTTATGAAGGATAAATTCTATGATCCCAGTACTCACTTAAATTACTTTTATTATAATGTTATTTAATGTGTAAACCTAAGTAAAACACCATAAACCTACATATATAAATATTCAATTTATAATTCTTATAAATTATTTTTAAAATTTATAAATTATAAGAAGCTTCAAATTAACAACCTTAATATAATATATAGTCTTTTTGGTGAAACTCTATTGTCTACAACATGCATTGCCTACTCTTACAGGACTGGTTCTTTGAAATTCAGCATGTCTGTATTGCTGTATTTCACATAGCAATATTTTTTTCTTGCCTCCTTTTTTATTCACATTACTATGAAATTTTCAGGAGTATAAGTACCATAATGGCATTTGGCCTTTAGTTGGCCCCAAAAGAGTTTTTTTTAGCCTTAAGTCTATCTCTGTCCATTTCTCCTTAGCTCATGACAGTTAAAGTGATACTAATTGACCCCAATGCAGCTACAAACACAACACAGATAAAGGCATAAAAATGAAGTGTCAGCACTTAGTTCTAAGATATTCATTCATAGAATCCAGGATAGACATATATTAACCTTTTAAAGATAATCATCAAGAAAAAATAACATTAAAAATTTATTATGGGAAATATTAGAAGATTGGACAGTAATTGGTAGAGACACTACTACAGCAGCAGCAGCAGCAGCAACAACAACAACAACAACAACGCTAGTGTGCCAGTTAAGGAGGAGGATTTTGGTAAGTCATAGAAGGATGGTAAAAGTCACAGAAACCAAAACTGGCAATGCCTTTCCAGACCAATTTTCAGTCAGGAAGGTGTTGGTTAGTAGATCTGAGTACCACAGTCCTGTTGGCAAGGCCATGGTCATATAGGAAAGGGAAGCCTTTGGCATTATACTCTGAAAGGAGAAGAGTGATATTTTTTTACATGTGATCTTCCACAACTCATAAATATAACACATACTTATAATTATGGGACACAATTTGTATTTCAAGAATCCACAGTTCTGTGTATCACTGTCTACTGCCTGTCTGTAGGGAAATGTTTTTTATGCATAATCTTTGTATGGTAGGCTGCTTCATGGCTACTTGGTCCTGCACTTAATTCACCTCAGCAGTTGCAGTTTTGGATTTTTTGTTTCTTTTGCCATCTTTTTCAATCTCATGTTTATTATTCAAATAAGTGATTTTAATAATAATGGTTCATTCCTTCAAGTTGCCCAGGATTCAGGCAGTGGTAATCAGGTTTGTTTTTGTCAGTTCCTGTCACTCAATTTCTTCTCTTTTGCTTATAATAAAATTTGGATTTATAGTTTAAAACAGGCAACCATCTATTATTAAGCTTCTGCAAGAAAGAAATAATCATGATACCATGAGATTAAAATGATCTCATGGTTCCTTTTTCTCCAGTTAAAAAAAAAAAAAAAAGCCTTTACATTTACTTTTGCATCCACATGACTCCTGAAACAGAATGCTACAGGCACCAGTGACAGTGACAACCAAGTTTATTGCAATGAGAGGCAAGGCCAACCGATCGGGACCGACACTCTTGACCGGAGTGCAGTCTCAAACAACTGGGGTACAGAGTTTTTATAGCCGACCACATCGTCTTATCATCACTTGGGGACAGAACAAAGAAATAGTTCCCAGATGGGGGTGGAAACAGTTCAGACAAGCCCTTGCCCCAATCCAATCAAACACCAATCCAGTTGATTTCCCTTGAACTTTTGTTCCCTTGATTGATAGGACAAGGCTGTTATCTGTTAATCTACAGTGTTAAAACAAAGCTGTTATTTCTTAAGGCTACAGGTTAGCCCTAGACTACAATTTAACCCTTACATTTACCCCAGGTGTTTTGGAACCTAATTAAATGATAGAATAGTGTTAGGAAACTTGAAAACTCCTACTTCATAAGCCAAGACTCTTGGCCTGTTATCAAGTTACTTACAATGGGGGAAAATATGGACTTGAGAAAGTCTGCTAGTGATCCTGAGCAGGAACCCACAAGGCCTGAGCTGTTCTATTTAAGAATGTAATTTCTTTCAGCTACAGAAGGGAAAAAAGTCAAAAGCATGAGGCATTCTGGGAAATAATACACATATATCTTGCATGTGTGTGACTTTGTAATATTTCTATTATGTACTAGAAGAAGTTCCTCTCTCTGTGTCACAATTGAGGAAAAAAAAAAAAAACAACTTGTAGTTAGATGACATCCTGTCAAGAATCTCAGCTATGAAAGAGGGATAGAGTCCTCTCTCCCCTAGGAAGTATGATTAGGTCATGGTGAAGAAACATTGTTGTGGTGGGAGCTCTGTGTCTCTTCAAATCTCACTCAATATGGGAGTGGTCTCTAGAATGCAATCTTGGAGAGAAGAGCTAAAAAACAGTGTGAGAAACATCTGATTGTTATATTCTTTTAAGTCAAGATTTTAAAAGATTTTTTAAAAATCTAAGCCCCACTGACTCTGGGATTTTACAAAATTATACTAGACCCTGGAAGAGTCTCCACCCCCTCCACCACCCCTGCCAAAGGAACTTCCATTAGATCTTGGCACTGCAAGCCTAACCTCACTCCCTCAGAGAGAAGTCTCCTCTGACCTCACCCTCCTCCCCAACACTGATAAAGTCATCCCACTCAAAAATCTATCCATCTTTGCACTCTTCTTTCACAGTATTTTCAAGAGTTTCTGTCATAATAATTTGGTTAATGGTTATCTCCCCACTAAATTACAAGCTCTGTAAAGGAAAAGTTGTGTATATCTTATCCAGGACTGCATCCTACTAGTTCCTGACACAGGGCAGATGTGTCTAAGCAAAGTAGAGAAGAAACAAGCACTGGTAAAAGTTCTCTATGTCAGATAACATGTTAGGCAATTTCATTTGTATTATTTTATTTAATTTTTTCAACAATAAGTTACTGTTATCCTCTTTTACAGAAAAGTAACTATAAGATAAAGTGATTTGTGTATAATTATTCACTAATACATTGTAAAGCTAAGTGTATCTGGATTCAAAAGGCATGATATTTTTACCAAACAGCAAGGAAATATTGCAAAATAATTCCTGAACTTACTTTTTGCGACAGAAAACAAATCATTCATGGCAGTATCTTTAGCATCCTCGATGTTAGTTATTTAGTACTGCCATTGATCCCTCTTCCTCTCTATAGATTGTATTCTCAGGTAAACATCTTGATTTGTTACAGATTAACTCCATGGAGAGAGGAGATTTTGGTCTGCTTAGCGTCTTTGCAGGTCACCCATTTATGTAATAAATATTTACTGAATGCTTAAAATGTGCCATGAACTACACCAAGCATTATATTGAATATTGGCCCCTCCAATCTCATCAGGGAGAAATTGGTATTCCCCATCTGCATGTGACGCCACCCCTGACATCCCTCACTGTGTGTTCCCTATGTCATCATGCAAACTGTCCTGTAAGTTCATAGGCCACAAAGATCTTTATTTCATTTCTTCTATGGATATTATGGATGACAAATGACTTTAGATTTTCCTAAGAACTCACAAAAGGCCCCGAATAGCCAAAGTAATTTTGAAGAAGAAGACCAAAGCAGGAGGCATCACAATCCCAGAC